ACTGCTGCCCCAGCAAAGTCTTGTATCTTTAACCCTCGTCTCAGTCTGGATCTCTACAGGCTTCAGCCTGCTGAAGGCTAAAAAAGCCTCACTCTGTCTCTTTTTACTGACCTTTGCTCTGGACAGGGTCAGGTCAAATAGTAGTCATTAGTTCACAAAATGGTGTGAAACTGAGGAAAGATTACCTCAGTTCATGCACCAATAACTCTTAACACAACACTGTTGGGGTATTATCTCAACATTTTCTGACCACTTTGTAGATCTGGAAATGCCAGTCCATCGGTTTACCACTTTGGTCGACAGTGAAATATCAATGAAAATTTAAATAGACATTAATATTTGAATATAGGAATATTTGATAACTCTATCTGTAAAGCATCAGCCACCGTTAGCGTGACTGTAGACTTGTTGAATTTAATGACCTTTAGACAGTGGAGAAGTTTTTAATTTGGGTCTAGTGTACTGGTATTTTCAGTGGAAGGTGAATACCATATATTAATTCCCCTTGCGTAATAATGCTTCAAAGCTACAGTGATATAACAACCATGTCCAGGTTATGCCAGTCTTAAAAACACGTGTGTGACTGTGTGATCAGGGTTGCTTCTACAGCAGCACGGAGGCTGGCTCGGCAGCTCAGTTTAAGGACGCTGACCTGGGCTAAAGTTGCAGGTTCAGGTTTCACTGGAATCTTCTGGAGGTATCTCACTCTGCTGATGAGCCTGTGCTTCCTGTTTGCGCTAATAAGACCCTGGAGGCTCATTGGCTGAGCTCAGCTCTGTTGTGGGGCTAATCACCAGTGACCCACATGACACCATAAACCTTATAGATCTGTCAGCGCATTGCGTTCTCAGATTACACTCGGCAGCTCGCCAGGCATGCCAGTTGTGTTTAATGCTCATGAACAATGGAAGCGATATTCCTCAGCTTTTTAGAAATAGATTTTTCTTGTAATGACCAGTTCCATATTAGCTGCTGAGCTTCATGACATTTAAGGCCACCTGTCGAATCATGCATGCGACGTATTGCTTTTTGTCAGGCAGTGAGCAGTCGCTGTGGCTGTGTGACTTCTGTTTCCTTTGCAAGGTAGCAGATAATTTGTTGGTGGCGTATTTAGTTTGTACCATTAGTACAGTAATAACAAATGATTCATCACCTCTCACCTAGTGCGTCCTATTAGTGTGAGTCATGAGCAGTAAAGTGGGTGTATTCTCAAAACATGTCCGTATCTAAAACTTGATGAGTGCAGGGTTTTTTTTTCTGCTGAATATCTAAAAATCAAACGCTATTCAACTCACGGTTCTGAGATTCAGTATTATGACAGCAAAACAGTAAGTCTCAGTAAATGTATTTAATCTGTCATGTATCTGTCATGCTGATGTATGTTTATACAGACTTTTTCTCACCCAGTGTCAGCTGTGATTGGCTTAAGCCTCCCTGTGATCTTTTAAAATGAGCAGTATACATAATAGATGGACGAATGTGTGGATGCACTATTTATTATATATGGGCGGTTCTGTAATGAAATTAAAGTTCTGTACTTGAATAGAAATTCAGAGATACTTGACTCTTTCCATTTCGTGCTACCTCATAGTTCTACTCTGTGGGGCCCTGAAACTCTCAAAAGAAATACTAATGACAAAAACAAATACAATTTAACGGAAAGAATAGAAATGAGTATATAATAGAAAAGAAAGTCACTTTCGGCTTTTCCCGTTTTAGGGGTCGCCACAGCGCATCGTCACACTGCCGACTCACATGTTGACATTTGGCACGTGTTTTACGCTGGATGCCCTTCCTGACGCAACCCTGACTCGAACCCGGGCCGTAGCAACGAGAGCACTGCGCCTTAACCACTATAATAGAAAACCTAATACTAAATAATCTAGTTCAAATTAATAGGTGTAAAAAGAAAATATAAAGTTTTGTACTTTATAACTCTTTAACCTTCAATCACTTAGTTAAATTGCACTTTTTCCACTGTTTGCACTGATAAAGAAATCAAGCTCAGTATAAACTCAAACCAAACACACAGACCTTTTAGTATAGTGTTTATTTGTTAACTTAAAAACCTCATGTTTCTTTAGCAGTGGGTTTCAGAGGTAGATTCACCGCAGTTCATTTAATCTAGAGCCAGGCACTAGTAGGATACCGTATCCAGGACACTGTGTGTGTGTTATTGTTATATGCTGTACATGTTACATAATATGCTGCCTTCAGATTGTATAATATTTTCATATAAGAGAAGAGAGAAGTATGTGAGGGCAACAAACAGCTACAGGATGTTCATGTGTTGTACAAACTGCAGTGAATCATTTGGTGAGCCTGTCAGATTGTTAGTACTCCAGCTAAATTCTGTATGTTCTACATAAATGAATCAACTGTCATCTTCTCTGCTGCTCTAGACTGCCTGTTGCACAACTCAAATGACAGGTCCTGTGCCATGATACACGAAAACAAGTCGATGAGCCTAAAGCTGCCATCAAAAATTTCAGACTGGCTTCTAAACAACCTCATTTACTTTATCACGGCCCCAAAAGATAACATCTCTGAACTCTACACCCTGCAGTCCTGAGCAGAGGGACCTGCCTCAGGCTTCTGAGGTCTCTGCTCACCTGTTTGTTTTAATGCTCCCATTAGTGGACAAAGTCTCTAGAGAGAAGAAGTGTAAGGGTAATCCAATCCCACCTACTGACACAGCATCACAGTAACTGGGGTTATAACTAATTCTGTTAGACAGACATAAAGTGTGACATTGACACAACCAGTCTGAATAATTCACGAGCTGACACAACTCCCAGTACTATCACTTTGCAGCCAGCAGTCACTGGGGGGTTAGAGAGGGAAGCTGCACTTCCTTATTGGACTTGGTTTCAGTTCTTTATTTTGTTGAACTCATTAAACTTTCAGGGATCCTCTTTAAACTCCAAAAGATTTTTGCATGTCTAAACATGAAACATATGGCACTTTTTATTGTATTTTTGCAGTTTTTTTTTTAATTTTTCAATCATATTGTTTGAAACTACAATGTAGGCTACTTCAAAATGTGCTTTTCCAAATGTAGCTAAGGTGTCATGCTTTCACGGGCGCTCTCATACAATTTTGGAGTTGCAGCCTCCTCATAGTACCTGATAACAGACCATTGTGAGGCATGTGGACACAGGGGCCAAATGATTGGAAACTGAATTACTTGAGCTTCTGAGCGACCCATGAATAAAATGAAGCCATCAGCAGCTCACAAGTTCATACCAGTTTCAAATTCTTGTCTGAGTAAGCCAGAGTCGTTCCGACGCCTTTACATATGCCGCTTTTAAGGTGTAGGAGCTGTTGGATACAGTGAAATTTAATCTTTACAGAGAGCAGCTGTCAAAACTTGAAAAACAAAAATTACAAATCTATCATTAAAACCACTGTACATCTTCACTTTGCACTATGTATTCTGCTATCACACTTTTTTTAATATTTATGTTCAAGCCTTATTTTCGCAAAATGGACAGTATTTGAAGAGGCCATGACATAAAACTTCAAGTATTCCTTTGTGCTGTGGGATAAAAACATTTGGATTAGTCTTTGAAGTTGTCCTGATGCGAGAGCTTTGTAACTTTGACTTTCTTAGTTTCCATTGTTGTTCTAAAACAATTAAAAACACACCAGTGAAACACACCGCAGTAATGGTTGACACATTTCCTCATTACAAAACACCACTGATATTTTTTTTTAAAGTTGCCCCGAAGGCTCTGAACTGCTGTAATTTTTTTACAACATCTGAAGTAAGTGAGGGTCAAGGCCCCTTGCATGAGATTTCTGGATATTTTAAACAGATATTAAGATCTTGTGTTTTAATAATGATGAAATACTGCATATCTCTAAGTGAAGCAGTGTGTTTCCCTGATGTGTTCTTAACTGTTTTTGAACAAAGACAAATAAGCTCATCCACAACTGACAGATTGACAGACATTAACATTGAGCAGAGGTTTTACTGGCTTGTTTGTTGGCTTTGGGTTCTGTATGGGCAGTGTTGAAAATGTTAATGTGGAAAATGGTGGGCCTCATCCTTTAAACACGTTAAAGTAACACAGTATACAGTGAACAGTTTCCTGCATATAAACAAAAATATTGCATATTGAATTATTTTGCTGAGGAGAAAAATGGTTAATGAAAGATATTAAAGAATCTGTTTGAAATGTTTTGAACTCTTCAGATATTCAAACTGTTTTATATTAAAAACTACTTAATGCCAGTTTAGTAACATTCAATATATCATATGTCATAACTAGACACAGCACATGTGGTTCTTTGATTTCTAATTGACCAGTATTGATTGATTTTTTTTTTTTTAACCAAAATCCAAGCTTTCTTTTTTCTGTTTATAAGATGCAAATCAAACTTTTCTGACTTCCTGACAAGCCTTGACTATACGAGTAACTGCACATGTATGATACTTAAAATTTGTGTGTCTGCATTTGGATGGGTGTGATGTAAAAATATTGTAGGCTTTTTAGATGGTAAAGAAACATGGGAGCAGTAATGCAATACAGGTTTGTAGAGCAACACCAGAGAGTGAAGATTAACAGAGAACACTGAGTTTGTGCATGACATAATGTTTGCTGGTAGTGATTGATAATAACAGGGTTTGGTTGGTCAAACCAAATATTGTTGTCTAATGTGAGTCTAAGATAAGACAACTGCGGGCATATCTGTGTTGTGTTTGCTGCCAGTGTGGAACTGTGGAGACAGTAGCATAAAAATAATATTTAACTTCTAATCAAAGTTCTAATCTTTTTTGAGTTTGGTGTGCAGGATGTCGACTAGCTTGTTTCTGCTTTTCTTGAAGCTGACAATTATCATAGCCATGAAAACAGATGGATTTCTTGATTGATCATAAATAATCTTTAAAACATCATTGTGTTCTGTGGAGGATTTTAAGAGACATCTGACCAAAGGGTAACTCTTCACCCTGTGATATTATATCTGTGTTTGTTTTTATGTTTGTTTATATGCAGAGAGCCTGATATTCCAGCCTGGGCTCCTTTACTATACCACCTGCAGCTTCTGGACATCAGAGAGAAACCAGACCCATTAAGTCTACCCATAGCAGACTGCATCCGAATTGGAAACCAGAAACGAGAGCGAGGAAATTTTCATTTCCAAAGGGAGGAATACAGCATGGCTGCCAGAGCCTATTGCTTGGCTCTGGATGTGCTAACCACACGCAGCAGAGGTAACACAGCATCAAAACCTGAATTTATTCATATAAAGTGCAGTATTTTTGTACTGTCAGCTACAACAGGAATGTCTCATAGCAGCTGATGTGAGCATTATCTTGTTGCAAAAAGGTAAAAATGGAAATACAACTCTGGTATAAGTGTGTGGCTATGCACACAAATAAGAAACAACAAGCACAGCACTTGAGAGACCTCAGACACAGCATTACCAGTCTCAGCCCACAATGACCTAACAGCTTAGTACTGCCCTCCAGTCTGCCATAACACTAATCACACCATCACGATGCAGAGCCACATACATCCGAGCCAAGTGCTGCGATAAATGTTTTTGCTTAATTCTTTTGCATAATCAAGTTAATCAGCTTTCATATCATTTCCACCTTCTTAATCACTTTAATCATTGATGAGGCAGGGTGGGCCCAAGAGGGAAATGTGGCTGAACAAGCAGGTGAAATGAAAAGCATGAACTGCCTCATAATGTATGTATGATGGACCAGTGAGTGAACTCATCGTGACACTGAATAGAGAAGTTTATCAGGGCATCATATTCGGGGATGAAAAAAGGGCCAAAAAAAAAAAAAAAAAAGAGGCAGAGACACCAACATGTCGGCCTATCTGACTTTTTGGTACACCTGTACAATTCAGTATCGCACTTATGTGTTAACATCTGTGTTTATGAAGCTCAAAATGTTTGTTTTTGGTGAAATTGTCATAAATGTATAAATTCAATTATATTTTCATTATAAAGGTCAGTCAAAGGTGGTGTTGTACTGGACTACATTATATTTAGAGATGTTCCTAATATTCTGACCCCCTCATGTTCGTAGCTGGAGAGGGAAAAAATGCACACTATTAAAAACAAGTTTAAAAAGAAAGTCTTGGATGCCTAAAGAATAAAAAGAGTCATGGACTGAAACTGTTCAGTTGCATCAGGAACAGTGATACAATATACAACTGAATAAAACAACAGAATATGAGCTTTGCTTATAACGATACCCGCTAGGAGTTTCTCTTTCAAAGTACTATTAAGTAACTGTTCTCTACATTTTATCTATTTGTTCAGTGAGTAATAAGCTCTTCGCAAGGTTAGTTAACTAATCTCTTCCAAATGTTTGTTTTCTTAGCTTTTTTGTGTCTGTTTGGGTCAACTATTGAGAAACTGAAGTTCACGTTAAATGTCCACAGTAGAACATGTGATCAGCTGTGTAACTCTTGTCGCTGTTCAGATGGCAGCGGCTTGGAGGCAGAGGAGGACGAGGTGCGGGACTATCGGGTCAAGTGTTTGAACAACCTGGCCACCACTCAGCTCAAACTGGAGCAGGACAACGAGGCACTGGACACCAGTCGAGATGTTCTGACCCTCGATCCAAACAATGTCAAGGCCCTTTTCAGGACGGGAAAGGTGAAGGCCCGTCCTGTGTTGTTTTTACTGAGAGACAACATGGAGCATTTAATTTGATTTGATTTATTCTTTCAAGCATATACAACAGTTGATATAACAACACACATTTTTACACACATAATCTAATATCAATTTGCTTATACCTAGTACCTGCTTGAATGGAGTAGGAAGAAGTCAGACTTATCCAGTCCTACCCCATGACATCATCTTACATCACTGGTTTGCAAGCAATAAATGATTCACTTCTACACACACACATATTATACTAAAAAAGAATATAACAGTGTTAACATTCTTACATCACACAAGTGATACAAAATATACACCACACCCACAATAGTCCATGTAATTAATCATTGAGCCTGTTCTTGCATATATCTTGATTGACACTTACCTTTATATTTATGTTTAAACTCATCAATTCTATTACAGTTTTTTATGTCCACACTTAAATTATTCCATAGTTTTACCCCACTTATGGAAATACAAAATCTTTTTTTGGTTGTACGTATAGCATGAATTTTTAAATTTAACTGACCCCTTAAATTGTATCCCCCTTCCCTTTCATTAAATAGTTTTTGAATTCCACCAGGTAATAAATTGTTCCTGGCTTTATACATAAACACAGCAGTCTGATATCCCACTAAATCAAACAATTTTAACAATTTAGACTGTATGAAAGCTACATTGGTGTGATCCCTATACCCCATCTT